CTCATTGAAAACAAATTTTAAAAGGCATCCAATCTGAAGTACTAAGACCTAAAACACGTATGATTCTGCAGTCATTTTGCTTTATTTAGAGGTAAAAGATCAGTAATCAATTGATTTTCACTCAAAAATTTGGAAAGAAAAGGAGAAAAAAAAAATGGAAAATTTGTGGTTTCAGAGTGCGACCACCGCGCGTCAAGGGGTTTAGAGATATGTTACCTCATGAAATCAGTCTACCAACTGGAGGGACCTGAGTTTGGGCCTCTTTTCCCTTTCTTAGCTTTTTCACAACACATTATTCATTTAAATTCACCTTACTTACTGCAATTTATTTCTTCATGATTTCATAGTATGGCATCATTTTCCCGATTTATTTCAGTTTTGTGCATTCCCTATTATACCAGGATATATATTTAACCAAGATCTCTCAGTTTTACTAGACTTTTATTTGTTAGCATTCAACTTATTTTTTGTACAGTATTGCATCAATTTCACTATTTGATTTTATACAGTGAATTTCTTATTATAGCAAGAAATAATTATTTTATCTAGATTTCATAAAATTCTTTATCACTTTTACAAATAGAATTTATTTCAGTATATTTATTTACAGTATATTAATTATGTATGCACTAATGTTTCTTATGTTAAGTCATTTATGTATGGTAATTTAAAACTATGATTAGATGAAGAACATGGCTGCATTAGAAAACAAGCAAACTAAACTGGTGATGCTTGTCATCGAGGAAAAAAAGCCCAACAAAAAATGTGCCATGTGACTTTGACAAAAGAATCACAAAATTTTCCAGTTACTCAGAGATGTGAAAAAATTTTAAATGAAGATGACATAGCTGAAGTCTTCACTGCAATGACAATGCCCCACTCATCAATCAGTTAATGGGCAATTAAATCTAGAATATGGTTTTAAATACAGAATGTATTGCCACTGATTGTGAAGAAAGTGATAAAGATACTGTTAGAAATAAAAAGATTTTAATTGACTATTTAATAGTAATTATCAGTAACTTTACAAACGAGCAAAAAATTGTCTTTAAAATTAAAGAAAAATATTAACAAATAAAATGAGTTTCTCAAACAACTTATCTTGGAAAACAATTTTTAATGAAATAAAAGAAATTTTTTATCCTGTAAATTTTGGTTCCCTAAAGGTCATAAACGCTTTAGTTTAGAAATAACCTTTAATGTTTTTAATTTTAAAATTTCTATATGTAATCTTACTAGATTTAAATACACGATGAGAAATTTCTGAAATCATTAAAATTAAAGTGATTCTGGATCTCAGGACTTTGTACTGCATTCTACAAAATTCTCAAGAGTTTCTTTGATTTAAGCAGTTTTTGTTCTAATGATAATTTTCTCCTGCTCTAATTTCAATCAGTTTTTCTTCCTCTTCAGCTCACCAATAATCTGTACCAGTTAATATGTTATGAAATGCACAAGATTTAGATTTTAATAATTACATCAACAAATCCAAATTTCATCTGAAGAAGTATTTTCCAACAACTTCAGATTAATAGGCAAGAAAATAACTACAGATCGGGCTTAAATATCATAACCAGATTCAATTTCAAAATACATAAAAAATAATGCTTAAATTTTAATATTCCAATTATTTAAATTCCTTCTCAACTGCAGTTCCTGGTGATGCGCAGACTGATGCCCATATGAAAAAGTCTTTATTTTGAATCTAGAAGCCTGTCTGCAGTGCTGTTCTTTTGAAAGTATTCAACAATAATTGTGGCATTCTTGGTTGTACTATGATACTAAGTAAATGTGACAGTTCACAGTAATGCAATGTGTATATACAGCCTGTATAGTAATACATACGTTTATATATACAACTAACCTATCATCTAACAACTAATCTAACATAAATATGAAAAACCTTAAATACGGCCCATTCCAAAGGATAATGGAGATGGATCAAGAAAGTAGATTAGGCAAACTATCCTTGAATAGAACAATCACAATTTTATCGTTAATAAATTAGGTTCCATTTTACATTTATTACTTTGTTCTTTAAAACATTTTGCTTTCCTCATTTTTGATTTCTTAAATGACCTAAAAGATCCTTACAACAATATACAAATTTATGAATACAATCAATGTAAAAAATTGTGTAAACTGAGGTAATAAATTTTACAGAAATATAACATCTTACAAGCTTGTTTAAAAAGCTCTGTCACTTTGAAGGTTTATGGTAATAATAATAATTATGTTTGCCTTTCGTGCTCCATCTGTTCAACACTACACGGACCGGTTCCAACTGAGAGGCCCTCATATCAGGCAGTGGGGTGTCACCAGTCTTAGTTCCCCAATAAGAGAGTTGTACACTAATCATGCTACTGCCCCGAGACCCCAATCCAGGGCAGCAGATTTTAAAAGTTTCTCTATACACACTGCCCTTTCCTAGGCACGTGGGGTCACTACTCCTGGTTCCCAGGTTTCATAGCAGTGGGGAGAACATGTACGCTTAGAGATTTGTCTGGTCGTTGAAAATACTACTCGCCAGTACTATGTGGGATGCCTGCCTTAGCTTACTCCACCTTGACCTGCGGGCCAGTCAAATTAAAGTCAAGATTACTTCCCACAGGTTACGGGAAACTGTCAGGCTTACACTTTTATACCCCTGTGGGCGAGACTGCTTAGGTACAGATCCTAGCCAACAGCTTTATAGAGTTCTCTAGTTCGCCCTGGGGGGTTATGACATAAAATCTTAAGTTATTTCAAACTGCACAAGCAAAACCATGATACCTCAATGGAATATGCAAATGATTATAATTTCAGCACACACATACATCATCGGCAACTACAGCACTCCTTACAATCTGTATATAAGGAGGAAAGATTGGTGTTTTGAATAACATGAAATGTTTCCTGCCTTGTTGAAAAACATGGGCATCATTTGAGCATGTTCTAGATTTGAATGAGGCAGAATTGTAGCATACAGAGATTGCAGATTATGCTTCTGGGAAATCGGTCATCATATTGTACATAGCAAAGCAACAGTCATGCGAATATGAAATCAGTGGATGCTAGAAGAAATGACTGATGAATAGGAGCAACTGCCTCGTCGCACTATTCCTAGGGAAGACAGGCATATTGTGTGCATGGTACTGACGGAGCACATTGCCATATCTGCAAACATATCATAATGAATGCAATCTGTAACACAACAATCGGTGTCTGCACGAACAAGTCAATGTTGTTTACAGTACAATGGACTGTCTGTTAGACTGCTTCACTTACATTTAACTTTAAACCCTAGGCATTTGCAATGGTGCAACGAGTGGTGGAGATGGACATTCGAATGGTATGGCAATGTGTTTTTGCATGAATCTCATTTCTGCCTGCAGTGCCACAATATTCAGATTACAGTTTGGAGACATCACGCACAGAGGCTGCTTGACTATTATGTTATGCACCATCATATAGGTCCAGTGTTACGGTATGGGGTAGGGTTCCGCTCCTACATCCATCTAGTATGCATTATTGGTACAGCTACCAGCCAATGCTATATCTCTGAGGTTTTGCAACTTGGTCTCCTTCCTTACCTTCAGGGCTTGCCACAGCCACATTTCAACAGAAAAATGTGCAACCACATATTGCACAGCACACTATGTTCAAATTTTCTTCTTATCCCATGATATTGCACTGTTAGGCCCATATCACATGACGTTTGTTTCACTCGAACAACTGTTTCGAACAATTTTTTTTTTCACTAGTTTACTGCTGAAAGAAAGACGTGCGACTTTTTCTTTCCTTTCGAAAAAAATTGCAAGTTGTTCGTTTTCAACCAATCAGCTATCAGCTTCAAATGTTATCAGCTTGCTTGTAATTTGGGGAAACCAGTTTCCCCTGTGTTAACCCCAAAGCGATCTATGGTGATTGTGGCTGTTGTGACAAAGCAGAAAAACTGTTCCAAACAGTTGTTCTTCCAAAACAAACCGCCGTGTGATAGCAGCCTTACTCTCACTTGCCCCTGCTCCAGATCTACTGCCCATCGCACATGTCTGGTCAATGACTGGAGAACACCTAAATTGACATGCTGCACCCATAAATACACCAGATGAACTTTGTCTATATGTGGAGACAGCATGGGTTGCCATTCCTTAACAACACATCCAAAGCCTCTTTCACTCAATGCTGTGGCATGTAGCAGTAGTTAGGAACACCCATTACAGAATTTCTCCTTTTCCTCACTTTAAAGAAGGCTGTATTTTAAATCAATTAACATTGATACTATGCGAAATCTCTGAAATAAATTTGCCTTTGATATCTCTTGTCCTTCTTCATGTTGTATTTTGGATGGCTGGCAGTGTATATACGTAACAAGCCTATTCTGTCAGAAATTGATGCTCGAACAAAACTACCAGTGTTCCAGAATCTTAAGTATTTCGCCAATGGTAAACCAATATGATTAATATCATTATAACATATTTCATAAATTAATGCATTCTCAGTACATTCTGTTGTGCTGGCAAATATCAAAGTCAGTGTTGCTATTAGAATAAATGGCAATCCACATCATTATCCTAGAAGCACAGAATATATGTGTAGATTGCATTAACTGCAGCTCATTGACATTTCTTAAAATTCTCTATTTCACAAGGTTATGTGTTACCCACAACAACTCTGTATTAGAAAGTTACGACATAAAACAAGACTAGACTCAAAATAGTACACTCTTCAGTTCTAAGATCTGAGGTATGTTCTGGCTCCCCACATCTTGAGCCAGTATAAGCATATTGCAGCAGAAACCTATAGTCTCATACTATGTAAATAGAAATTAATGAAAAATATTTAAGAAAAAATAAACACTTTAAAACAATGTTCTTGAAGTTAAAAATAAATGTAACCTGTGTGATATTCATAATCTCATTCTGTATTTGTTGGATTAGCAGATAAAAAAATGCTCTTTCATGGTAATATTATTGTTTTAAATGTATTACATGTAAAATAATTTTTCATTTATTTTCCAGTTTGGTTCGTGCCAGAATGGAGATTTCTGTGGTCATGTGACATCAAGTTCTTATGAGACTTACCATATATGTACATGCCCAGCTAAACATATCTGTATTTTACAGAACAGGAAGCTGGTACATGCTCATGAAATTCTCTATATAGGCCAAGCTTATGAAGGATTTTGCACACCAAGGGAAATTTAAAAAATACTTCCTAAAAGGGACATATTAAGACAAAAAAACTAACTGTGAATTTTCCTAACAAATATTTCAATAAAATGAATCTTTGATGCATAGGTAAAAGTTTTATTTAAAAAATGAATAAAATAAGTGCAGGTATGTCTCACTTATTTAAAAGATTAAGGACCAGAAAAGTGCAAATATTTTAGCCACTTTAAACACAAAATTCACAACATGCTTAAAATTGAAAAGGATAGCTTAAAAATTTAATTGCAAAGAAGTAGCTTTTGTTTTATTTTTTTTTTTTTTTTTTTTTTTTTTTTTAATTCTATGAAATATCATGAATAAGGCAGGTAACAGACAAAAAATGACTTGGTAAATGTCAGTAAGTTTATTCTTGAATAGCTCTGAAGATTCCATCTAACAATATTGACATGAAAAGGTTTAGTATTTGCTGCTTATTTTCCAACATTATTTATTTAACTTTATTATTTAGGGTAATAATAACTCATAATATAAATTCACATATATTTATATATGAAACATATATATATTTATAATAAAAACTATGAAGTGTAAAAGGTTATACAAAAATTATATTTTAATACCAAATAAAATCAAACTTCAGTTTCTACACTGTTTTTTAATATAGACATCAATAATTATAATAAAAAATTATAAAACGGAATAGACTGGTTTACTTATTTTATAATTTTGCACTTTGCTTTCCTAATTATATTAATTATGCAATAAAAATATTACACAGTACATTATATTCGATAACCAAAATGGTTAAATTACAAATCCGCCTTCAAATATTTTTGATATTATGGAATTTTTTGTTTGTCAACGTGAAGAAAATAATAATTCAGATGTACATTTTTGAATATTCTTCATGCTATATCAATGCTCAGGTATAGTATATCAGAATAAAACACTTTGGGGGGCATAAATTGCCTACAAATACATTTGTGTTTTTGTTTTGGTTTGTTTTTATAAATGAATACGTTCTTCAACAACTTCAATAAAACTTTTCCAAAACTCTTGCCAGAAATGAATTTTTCATCATATACATTTTTAAACTCACACAAAATTTCAAATTTTTTATATATCAACTTGTCTGCCAATTGCCTTTTTTTTAATTCACAATGAATTGATCAATAAGTCCAAAAATTCATAATTTGATATTTATAATTTAAAATATGTTTTTACTGATTTACTTAAAAGGCATTTCACCAAAATGATTTCTCATCCATTTTAAGTAAGCGATGCGAGATTTATATAATTTTATTATGCTTAAAGATATCCATGTCAATTTTTGTACATTATATCATAAAAAGTCTACCTTTTTCAAAGATTTATACTCCATCAAACATCATGTCTTGAAGACCAGTCAACTTCTGACAAGTTTTCTAGAACTAAATTTCCACTAACCATTGATTGTAACTTTCACCATTGATGATTAAAGTAAAGTAGTAAAAAAATAGTAAATAGTAATAATATATAGTAATAATTGTAATGAGGCAAAGGAAGTAAAATAATTACACAGTTCTTGCAACAAACTTAAGTAGTATATTGCCTCACTACAATTTGACACTGCACAATGCCTAATAAGACCTATAGAATCAACAGAAAATGGTACATACCCAAGGACTGATTTTCTTAAAACACGGTTCAACACTTGAATAAATTTCTGACAGGCCTCTTCTATTTTCATAAAGACATTAACCATGGTGAATTGATATACTTATTTCAAAAACAGAAACAGTGCCCTTTATAGCTTAGATCAATCTTAAAATTTATGTTCAATATGTATTAAAAATTACTGTACTGAAATATAATTTTTGTATATAAACCTCATTGCAAAACATAACTGATTTATATCGATCAAATCCAGAGAAGAATCAATAATAACCAAATAGTAGCTGGGAAATTCAACTTCACTAATGATGATTTTTTATGCTTTTTAGTGATTAATACAACAAATTCTTCAGCTACCCAACAACAATAAAATCATCAGAAGGTTCAAATTCAGCAATTAACTCTATTGTTATAAAGTAACTGTCACTACAAACCAATTATTTCACTAGTGCACAATGGAAGTTCGACAAGAAGTGAAATATTTTATTACTACTAGAACTCTTCTAAACATTTTTTTCAACTACAGTACAAAGTCTGTAATCCGGACGTCCATTATCTGGAATGATCTATAATCCGGACCTCAAAGCCACAAACTTACACATGTGCGTTTCATGCACGCGTTCGCTACGCATGCGCATAAAACCAGTAAAGCGTTTACCCATGCGAACTTCCGATAGTGAAGAAAGTAACAGGGAACGTTATTGAAAACGAAAAAATTACAATTGACAAGTTAGTCGGTATTTTCGACACAGCAATTACAAGACCTGAACAGTGGAACTTTGTAAATGAACAAGAAATTATGTCTCTTTATAGAATTAAAGAGAATGTATTAGCACAAAAAACGAAGCAACTTAAACAACTTACACTGAAAGAAATGTTTGCTAAAGTAAACAAATAAATATTAAGCTTTTTTTTTTTTTTTTTTTTGTTTTGTAAATTTTGATACCCTTTAGATCATAATTGCTCTTTATTTCATAAATTATGGTTTCATATTTTTAATTGTATAATTTCTGCATGCCATCTTACCAGATTTAAATTGATGATTTATAATCTGGAAAAACCTCTAATCCAAAATCGCCGAAGTCCCGACAAGTCTAGATTACGGACTTTGTGCTGTATAACAATTCAAAAAACTGTATTAACGTTTCTCCCCTTTTTTGTGAGGTTGAGCTCACAAGGAGGGGACTTTGCCTTTTTAAAGATCACTTTGTCGATAGTCTGAAGAAAAGAACTTTACATTCCTGTTATAAATCAGGCAGCCCAACTAAAAGGCCAAAAATTCCCATGTGGATTGCCAAAACTAAAAATGATGATGGCCAATCCATGAATATATTCAAGATTAGTTAAACCTTAATGTTTGATGATTTGTAGTTACGTAAATTCTGAACTAAAGAAAAAGTTAATTCTAGTTACCTAGACCTAATTTAATTTCTCTGATCATATGAATCAGTTAAATGTTCTGTTGCATTTGAATTCCTTTATATGAAGTGTGATCACTCTGATCATGTCACACGAGTTCTGTTGCATACTAGTTTGTTTAGTATCGAAAGATAAATTTTGAAGCATTGCAGAAATTTAAAAGAGGAATTTTATGGCAGCACCACTGCTCTGACAATTTTTTTAAATAATATTTGAATGAATATCGCATATTAAGTTGAAGTACTTTGTTCTATGCAAGTTTATATATGAAAATGAAAATAAATATCAAATATAATAAACACATAATAAACAACTCTTAACTTTGATTTGAATCTGTTGAACAGCAGAAAAGGTATAGAAATATATAGTCTCAACTCCCATATTTTATATTACTACAAATTACTAAAAGTATTCTATTGTAATTCATGAAATTTAAATAATTTATGAAACCGTAATTTATGAAATAAAGAGCAATTATGATCTAAAAGGTACAAAATTTACCAAAAAAAAAAAAAAAAAAAGAAGCTTAATATTTATTTGTTTACTGTAGTAAACATTTCTTTCAATGTAAGTTTATGTTAAGTTTATGCTCTTGTGTATTTTATAAGTTATTTCAAGCAAATCAATAGAAAAAGATGTAAAATGAGTTATTTCTTTTTCTTTTTTTAGTTTTCGAATATGTATGTTTGATGTGTACTAAATCTATATAAAAATATTTTAAATCCTATATATGTTAAGTTAGTGCTAAAAGTTTCAGGTTTACATTTTAAGGAATTTATCAACTTTCATTTAAGTATGGCTTATATAGCAAAAGGGAAGAAACAAAATTTGGTTCAGTTCACAGAGACACTAGGTGTAGTGATAATGGAAAATTTAAGAATTCCTGAAATAAATAATGCTACAATTAACTGTTCAACATATGATGTGAAGTTTATGAGAGAATGTTTGAACCGCATCATAAATGATAGGAAAGAAATTGAAATAGAACAGTATACTGAAAGAGAGAAAGAAAATGAACAGTTGTTTGAATTGAAATTCAAATTATAATCTATTATTATTCCTAGTAAAGTGGAGTCGGCAGCGGTGTCTTCTACTGTTGCAACAAATTATAATCTTCAGTGTTATATACATTGTGTTAACAATGGCTACTTAGCACTTGATCTAATAATAAATTTTGATACTCAGATAAAATAAGTGCAAAAAGAAACAGCTATTCTGTCGAGTACAAGAAAGGAATTGTGGAAGACTGGGGATACAAATCTTACAGTCTGCATCAAAGAGAAGTTGGATCTATGAATGATCCAAAAATGGCAATCAGTGTACAATAATCTCAGTCAACAGGTCGAAGAGGCAAATGCCAAAAATTTATACTGAACTGATCCATACTAATGAGTGTGGAACAGGTCGGTAGCCATTATTTCCTGAATTAGAAACCATAATCTGTGAATGGATTGCTGATTTGCCCTTGCAATGGCACCATAGCTAGACATCACCAGACTAATTCAAAGCACCACAAAAATCGCAAGGATGGCTTCTTTCAGTGACATGAATTGTCTCTAAAAAGATCAACAACACTGTTCAAACTAGAAGATAATGAAGTAATTAAACATGCACTTGCATTCAAGTGTTTTATTGATGGCATCATTGATTTCTCTAAATACCAACTCTTGAACATTATTGCTATGGATGCAACTACAATGTTTACAGGTTAAGAGTCTCAAGCTACCATTCATCTGAGGGGTATCTCTGCAATATGCATTCCCTCCACTGATTATGAAAGTTCATGTATTAAATGTATTTTGGCAATTCGTCTTAATGAAATGTAAACCCCTCTTGAATCATCCCTGAGAGCAAGAAAGAGGAAATAAAATGCATTTCAGGTATTTATGTTCTTGGGACTGAAAAAGCTTGATGCACGGAAACAGCAATAAGAAAGTGGGTTAGTTCTACCACTTGTTTTATGTAATGGCCAAAGAGATATGCTAGTGTGAGATTCTGCCAGTACTAACTGTGCTAAAACCATGAAGAAATTTCCTTGCAGAAGAAATAATTGATC